ATGTGACTTGAACTTACCGTTTTTTACAGGCACATCACTGCCTTCAGGAACTGCTCTTATTCTGAGAGGTAGAAAGCCATTGTGATGTTCAAGAATATAGGTCCAGCCTGCCAAGATATCACAGCCATTCAAGAATCGTGAAATACACTTTTTTATAAAGTGCACTTTAATATAAAAACAAAAACAACAAACAACAAACAACAACAAACAAAAAACAAGRAAAACAAAAACAATACAGACAATTTCGTTGGATAGAAAATACCTTTTTCATTAAACAGATCTGTACCAAAGTGAAGCTCGTAAAATTCTTTTGCTTCCTGAATCTTTTGCTTTGTTATCACCTGCCCAACAAGCCATTTCTAGAAACAGTTTTCAGTAACCATCGCAATTAATGACTCGTCCTAAAAAGTATTTCAATAAAACATCTCGGGTCTCAGGCTCGTTTGTTCATGTTATCACATGTAATTAAGTAGAATTTGTTTTATAGATCTCTGTCTTGATTCGAGGGTCAGTTTTCCTCTGGTTCAGGTACTATCGCAAAACATAACAAGCTTGAATATTATAAGTAGATATGAAACGAGAGTACTGCGCCACCCCAGCTCCGGAGCCATCGTATCGGCCTGTCCTTCCGCTCCGTTCGGTRGAAAGCGATGACGTCACATTTATTTTGGGGCTCTTCCAGGTGGGACTCTTCATATCGAGTGAAATTTTATAGCGTTTTTCTAGTTTTCTTGTAATTCTTTGATCTTCTTTATTGCCAGCTGGATTCGCCTCAGTGCCACTTTCACTCCGTTATGAAAGTAATGATTAAACTTCATGCATCAAAAATTTGCTTATAGCATATTTATTTCAATTTCGTATTTCTGAGAAATATCAGTTACGATATTTCTATTACTCAATACTTAAAGTCACCCAAAATTGTGAATTCCTTGACGGGGAATTGGACCCCGGTCTCCTGCGTGACAGGCGGGCATACTACCCACTGTACTATCAAGGTCGACTTTGATGTTGTCTAACGAGTCCGTTGCTCTACTAATTGAGCTACCGTGAGATATATACTTTTACTATTCTTTAAAACCCTACAAGTATGATCTAAATGGAAGTTTATCGAATATTGTCAAGGCTCGCTGAATACAGTAAATATTGGCCACGAAGTGGTTTTCACTCAAGTTTCTTCTGATTTGATTTGCATATTTCAGTTACGACATTAAAACTTTATTGCATGGGTTGCAGTTTTTTTTCAGTTCAGTAATTTGGAAATCAGTTACTGCTTACAACTTTTTACCACTTGGTAATGAAGGAAAGTAGTCGAGCCCCGTTCCCATTTCCTCGTCTCTTGTTGTGGTACAATAAGTTAATCCTTATTTTCATAACGAGGCGAATCCAGCTGCAATCAAGCAGATAAAAGAATTACAAGAAAGCTAGAAAAAGACTCTGAAATTTCACTTTGTATGAAGAGCCCCAAGATAAATGTGACGTCATCGCTTTCCACCGACGGGCGCGAGGACTCCGGAGCGGATGGACAGTCCGATGCTTCGGCTCCGCGGCGGCTCCGGAGGTGGGAAGGAACAGAACTCTCATTTCATATATCTACTAATATAAGTGGATGTAGATGACGTAGAATATCAGTTTTATTCTTACCTTATTATAATATGTTTTCCAATCTTTAGAATTTAATTGTTTGAAAAGCTGTAATTATTTGCTAAAATGGAAATTACTCCTGTAATGGTAATAATTAATAACGTTGCATTTACCTTTAGAATATATTGGAGCCCAAAAAAGCATACACTTGAAAATTTCCCACCTCTGCTTTCAAAATATGAGAAGAGAGTAGATGTTCCCTCTGGATATTGTTGGTGATGAGACACCTGCATGATAATCAATGACATGATTTGAATGTCATTATTATTCAACGATATTCGTGGCAAACCAAGCCAGACTTTTAGCTGTGACATTATATCTCCAAGTGGGCAATATTTGGAGGTAAAAGTCTCTGGCATGGAATTTAAACCAGAAATAGTAAATATTTGAAGATACATAAACGATGAAAGAAAGATTGTTTTCAAATATTACTAATTACTAATTGCATTGTTTTTCTTCTGTTTTTCTTTGTCTGTTAGTCACTTATTATATACCGTAGCCGCTCTTAAATGTGCCAAGTAAAATCTGTCTCTATTTCAGTTAGTGTTACGTGGTACAGTCTGTTTGCTTGATAATGTTAGCGCGACAGAACTTTTGTCACAAAATTATCGGCGAAATGCGCAATTTTTCAGGGGCAACGTCTAAAGCGTTTCATAATGAAAGCATAATACTGGCGAGTGACTTGTGTTGCCCCCCGCGACAGCATGCACATTGCTTCGAAAAAAAACGTTCTTAACAAAACTTTTGTTGTGTTTATATGTAACTTAACTGTAGGATTTATTAATAGTGGATGGCCATCATTTTACAATTATTCAATAATAATTTATTAACTTTATCAAAGTTTCTTATCTTCTTCTAGCTTGGCACAATTTTAAAAGTGCTTTGCTAATCGAGGAGACATTTTGACGTGAAAATCCTTTCGGAATCGTCATTGTTGTGCCTATGAGAGCAATGATTTGACCCAACATTATAGACCCAACATCTGGTCACCATTTGTTGGCACGTTGTTGGCTGAATGTTGGGTGTATCGTGTCAAACGATACCAACATTTTTAGGACAATAGAAATGCTGGCGTGATATTTATGTAGGCAATTGTTTGTTTTCAAATCAAAGTTGACTCAATATTTATTTGAACATAAAAAGTCACCTCCGAATATCGTTAAGTTGAAAATTAGAAAAAACGGTTACAGCATTTGACCCTAGAAATATGTTGGCTAACATGTTGGCTCAAATCAGTCGGGCTCGCTTGTATAAGCAATTGGGGTAGGTCAAATATATATATATATTACTATATATCATAGTAAATAATAAGTACTATAGACATATATCTTTTTTCTCTAGAATTAGTGATTTAGATTTAGATTTGATCAGAGTATTTATTAATATCACACAAATGCTTTTGTTTCGTTTGTATATTTGCATTTAGGGAGTTTTTTACGTAGGGCTAACCTCTAAACTTCCTTTCGTGGTGCTTATTTATTCCTATTTTTTGCTGCGTGTTAGGTTTTGCTTTCACTCTTGCAACTTTATTGCATGTTACTGATTATTTCAGTCCTGAATAAACTACTATTTGATATATAGCTTTAGATAATGATAGAATTTAACGTGAAAATAAAATAATCTTGAAACATTGCCAATTAATTATATAGAGGATATTACATGGGCACGCGAAGATACGAAATTTATCGAGTGTTGAAAAGATCTCTCACGAGTGAGCGTAGCGAACGAGTAAGAGATTTTTAACTACAACACGAGAAGATAAATTTCGTATCCCCAAGCGCCCATGTAATATTCTGTTTATTATATATTTATTTTATATATAAAATCACTGATACAAAGCTTATTAAGGCTTAACAAGCATTTTATCATGTTATAAAAAGTTTTTATTCATAAACTAATAGCTTAATTACACATGGTAACGATATTTTCATATGTGAAAATAACATGTTATTTTCACATGTGAAAATATCAGTTTTTCGAGAAGGAGAAATATATAGAGATTATCACATGTTAAGAACTTGATATCGTTTTTATTCACGAGTTTTTCCGTATCATATCGCGAACGAGCGAGTCCTCGAGCGATCAATATCAATATCATTCAAGATATTAAAGCTTAATTAAAAATGTAAGAAGCACAAAATTCATCTTGAATTTGATAGAAATAAACACTAAATAGAGATTGATCTCGTCACTCTTGACTACTATCGTAGTCAAGTTACAGTTATAGTTTACCGTGAAGTGATATCGTATCACTTCACTGATATGGTTTTTATTCACGGCTTTATTTCACGGATATCGAGCTTAAATGTGTAATAAAGGTATTTTATGGATAATTATATGATAACACAAAATATACTTGACAATTTACAACATATCTTTTTTACCTTATAGGAGTCAGTGAGAAGTAAAATATTCTGTCCGTCCACTGAAGCCGCCATGGTAAAACTAGCCGAGATAACAATGGTGTAAAACTAACAGCAGAGAAAACAGCAGTACATTACATGAATAATTCAACACAAGGGCGGTGATTTGAACAAAATACTTGCAACCGTGAAAGGCTAGCTTTTTGCTAGTAACTACATCTGTATCAAAATCTGTCTGTGATATATATTTTCTTATTTTAACAATCTGTCGGACAGGATTTTGTATTCGTATAAAGTAAAGTAAAGTAAAGTAGAGTAAAGTAAAGCCTCATACCAGAGTTAATAGAATTAACTCTGCTCATACGTACTTCTCGAGGGCTGTAGGCTTAAGCATTAATTAATTTCCTTCAAATTTCAATAAGATTTTAGCTCAAAAGAGTGCCAAATTACGTCATTAATCCAATAATTGTTTTATTAGAATGATTTTAATTTGCCAGTGAAAGAATAGT